CCTCTTCTAGAAGAGAGCCCTGATCTAGATCATAATTTGCCAAAATGTAAGGAGACTTTCTTTAATGCTTTGCTGGAGTCAAAGTACATTATGTCCACCTCATTCTCCTGTTTGACTAAAATAGTCAATCTATTAAAAAAAGAAATGAAACTGCCGTGGCATGATTTGTTTTTCATAAAACCCTGCTTGCTTCCTGACAGGCAAGGCACACTTTTCTAAATGCTTAAAGATCAAACTCTTAATAATCTGTTCTGAACTTTTGATTAAAATTAATTTGAAACTAATTGGTGTGTACGTACCTATGTTTGCTTTTCTCCTGTTTTCTGATGATTGGACATTTGCACTTTAATCTTTTTTTTGACTACATAAAACTAACATACCTTATGTGGAACTTTTTCTAAGTTAATACTCATCAGTCATATTATCATTCATTAGTGGGTTTATACATGGTCCAAACACTTTTCAGTATTATTTCATCTTATTCCGACTCCTCAATTCATAATATTTAACAAAATATTTTTTCCACTTAATCACACTCATTCAAAATACAAATTTTCCCGAAACTCATCCCACAGTTCTTCTATTATCTTTGTTTGCTAGAATAACATGTAACTATCCCTATCCTAATTCATTCTTTTTATTCATCACAAAATGATGCCAGATCATACTTTCCAATATATATTTATCCTTTTCATTCACTTTCATTCAGATTTGTATAATAAGTAGAAATTAGAAGGTGTGTAAATAATTCCCAAGCTACATAGGTCTGTTATTTAAACATGAAATTGTACTTTCTAATGTTCAAATAAAATAAAAAAAGATTACCCAAAATTATGTTTTGAAAAAGAAAAAGACTGGACTCATAGAAGACATTAATTTTTATACTAGGATGAAATCTATCAACCTATTATAATCTTTCCATCAGTTTCACATGAACATAATATTGTGTGATTGTGTGTGTTCATGTATCTGTACATAAATATATGTGTAGGGATGTGTGTGTGTGTGTGTTTGTACATACACTAATGTATTATAAAGCAATTCAAAGTGCTGGGTGTTACCTTTAAGGCCCTATATAGCTTGCGACCAAGTTATCTGAAGGACCGTCTCTTCTTGGTTACATTCACAAACCCACCAGAGAGAATGTTATGGGTCCCCTTTCCTAAGGAACATCTGACAGGACCCAGAAAAAGGACGTTCTCCGTGGTGGCTCTCTCCCTTTGGAACATCATCCTTACAGAGATTAAACTGGCCCCCACTTTAACACTCTTTCACAAGGCACTAAAGACCTGGTTTTGCCAGGGGATCTGGGAAACCCAAAGTAGGATAAAGCCCCTGAAGTGGCTTGTTTGATTGTTTCTTCTTGCCGGGGCATGGTGGTGGTTATTATTTATTTATTTTTTATATTGAATTTTTTATTTTTTGCAAACTGCCTAGAGCAGGGGTGTCAAACTCACAACGTCAGATGACGTGTTGTGATGTATCGTAACTTTTTTTCCATTGCCAGCAATAGGGTGGGGGCGGTTTTGCTATGATGCATCCGGCCCGTGGGCCGGCAGTTTGACACCCCTGGCCTAGAGCCACTGTCTGGGCAGTCATATGAATTTTCTACATAAATAAAATAGACATCCATACATACTGTCCTTCATAAATATATACCTTAGGATCAGTTGAAATTGATCCTATATTTAGACAATCTGGAAACTGAATGGCCTTTAATCTTTATGAGTTCATAATTCTGCTCTATATAGGGGACGCCTGTTTTCACAATTCTTGAAAACTGTAACAGGGAGGGATGGCCTGGATTATGGTTGTTTCAGAATATTTGAGCACCAGGATCCTATAAATGGCTTTCCCTCAAATTTGAGATTTTCAGCAGACCCCTAAGGGCTCGATTTCACTGGCAAGCAGGTTGAATTCAGAGAAGACTGATTGGATAGAAGGCTTTAAAGGTGATAATCAGCACCTTGAATTGTATCTGTAAGCTCACAGGCAACCAATTAGCTGATATATTTTGGGGACGGGAACAAAACCTCATTAGTTAATCAACCTGAATTTCTAAAGGGAATGCTACATAAAGGTTGTGTAATATTGATTTGTTTTATTTTTACTGTATTTTTAAATGTGTTAATATGATTTATTTTATTTTTTTATTCCTAAGGAGAATAAATTGATTTCATGTTTCATTTATAATTATAAACTAACAAGCTTTTTTTACATTCAGATATGTATAATAGTAAAAAACCTGTAGAGATAGATGGTGATTCTTGGGGAAAGAAACTAAATCTTTAGAAAGGTGAAAACACAGTATACAGAAGATGAAAAATCAGATTATTTGGAGTTAAGCCAACCTACATATCAAGAAACAATAAGAAAGCCAACTTCTTCTGACCTAAAAAAAATACTGTAGAATGTTTGATAAGGCAGATTATCTCTTTGAAAAATGATTTTGGTAAATTTTGAGCCAATCACTTTCATTTTCTATCCTGTTGCTTTGGTTCCTTGTCAGCCACAAATTTAACTGAACCAGGTAAGGTAATTGTGCTATCCCTGGCATTCTTTTTTTTATAAATAATTTTTTATTTTTTAAACCAACAAAATAAGACAAAACAAAACATAACATACATACACACACAGTGTGTACTCCTTTTTTTTAACAGCAATTTCGTAACGGTAATCTTCTATTATTTACATTTTCCCCCCTTATTCTGCTTTAGATATATTTGTCCTTGTTCCGTTGTTTCTTGTTTGCATTTTTCTTCCTTCATACTATACTTCATACTAAAAATAATACATCTTATTATTACTATACATTATTATACACACATTTTCCACTTTTGACCTTTCCACATTTATTTTCCTCTATTATTTCTAGTCTCCAAACAGTCGTACCACTTATTCCATATTAAATAGTATTTTGTGTCTTCCTTTTCTTTTATGTCTTTTGGTAATTTGTCCATCTCAGCACAGTCCAGGATTTTTCTTATCACTTCTTCCTCTGATGGTATATTCTCATTTTTCCAGAACTATGTGTATGCTATTCTTGCTGCCGTTATTATATGTAGAATTAAGTACCATATTTCTTTACTATATTTTCTGTTTAAAATACGCAGCAAAAAATCTCTAGTTTCCAGTCTATGGGTTGGTTTATTATTTCTTTGATCCATCTTCTTATTTTAGTCCAGTATTTTTTCGCAACTAGGCATATCCACCATAAATGATAATATGTTCCATGTACTTTTTTACATTTCCAACATGTTGGCAAATTGTTCTGGAACATCTTAGCAAGCTTTGCTGATGGAAGATGTATGCCTGGCATTCTTAATGCATAACTGAAGTTTACAATACATTGTACAACTGCAATGATGGTGCAGATAAATATGTTTTTAATCATCTTAAAACTTCAGTCACAACAGTCCTTTCTTCTATTAAGTTGCTGTTCCATAGAACAGCAACTTTAAGTATCAGTTATGATTTTTAATCATTTTTCCCAGTAATGACAAATTTGGCAATAACACACAAGGACTGATATTTATGTAAATCAATTAATCAGAATACAGCTGGAAGGGACTTTAGAGGTCTTCTAGTCCAACTCTCTGTTCAATGTTATGGATTTTTTGCTTGTGGAATGAAAGTGGTTAATAAGAGGAAAGATTTTGAATGAAGTATTACTGAAACGGGAAAAAAAATTCCTCTTTCTCATTTTCTGTTTAAAATTTATAGCCAATTGAGATTAAAGTTTATTTGTAACTTGTTAAGACATGCTTTATTTAACTGTGATTGTTGAATAAACCACAGTTGAGTTCATGTAACATGCTAAACCCATTAAGATAAAATTAAACAAAACATATTATGGCTTGTCACAATGTGCAAAATCTTGCCTGAATTTAATTTTTAAAACTCAAAAAAGAATTCTTCCGTCAAATGATGCATACTGTAAGTTCTATGTCTTCAAATCCGAATCTGATTTGAATGTGCAGTTTGATTTGATTTTGCAGTACAATTTGTAGAAGTGAATTTGTATCTACATGCATGGAATTCTACTGAACCCTCAATAAATTTAAAAGCATTTGATTCAGGGAGAAAATCTATCTATGTAATAGCTAAAAATCAACACTGACTTGATACCACATAATCAACATATTGAATCAATTATTCCATTCAGCCTGGTGATTGGATTGAAGCACATTTGAATCAAAGTTTCACACAATCTAATAAGGGCAGGTCTAAATGAGATTTAAAAAATCAGAATTCCATATTATGAATTTTATAAATGAAAACATGAAAAGATGTTCTATTCATATTACACACAAATGTTCACCAGGGAGGGAAGGAAACAAAAGTGACATTGTATGCATCATAACATTATTCTGCAAATATCTGAATTTTTATGCTAAATTAGTACAGTGAATACATGTAATGTCATTTCAGTGTTCTTATCGATGTACCTAGATACCAGTGATTTTTCCAACAATATATTTTGTTCCTATTCTTCTCCTTTTTATTTTCATGTGTACATACATGTGTTGTATATATGCTGCCTTGATAGAGGAAAAATCTGAAGATCATTAATTAATAATTTGGAGAAATTTAATTCACAACATTATTGATCACAGGCTTATTTATTTATTTGGTTTATCAGATTTTTTGGCTTTTGGTCATTCTTAGAGACTTAGCAAAATAAGGCTGTTGTATAATTGCTTTCAAGCATTGCAAGAAATATATCATGAGAATTAAATGCATAGTTAGGTCAATGTATCACAATTTATTGGTATCAATAGACTGATATAGCACCATAAATAATTAATCTAACTTTCATTGAGTGTAGTCAGTGAAAGAAAGAATATTGGATTTAAAGTTGGCTGCATTTCTAGAGAATTCTTTCTGGAAACTCCCTGCCTGGTGGTTCCCAGAAGTGTACTTATATGTTTGATTTACAGCATCCATGTGTATAATATTTTTATCATAATCTTTTATCTGTTTTTCTTTCTTTACTTTAGTACTCCATTTGGACTGCTCTCTGGGTCACATGGAATGTTTTCATTATCTGCTTTTATTTGGAAGTAGGTGGTCTATCTAAGGTAGGTTCCATATTTTGACTGAATTAAATGGAACAATAATTCTTAAATAATTACAGGATGACTATTTTTAAAAATATATTTCATTGCGTTTTGAACAAAATGACTCTGGATCATTTGTGGATCTTTTGAATTTCTGTTTCCACAATTGCTATAGCATTATGACATGTTTTGGGGAAATCCACTAACATAAAGCGATACATCATACATAAATTTCTTTCTTTTTTTTTTATTGAAAATTTTTAAAATTTTTACAAGAAGAAAAACAACCCTCCCCAACCCACCCCAACCCTTCCATTCCCTCCCTCAGCCTCCCCAGAGCTGAATATAGGCTTAATTAAAGTTTCTTGAATTCTTAAAAAAAAGTATAAACCATAGATAAATCTAAATACATTACTTAAACAACTAATAAAATAATTAACAATAATAATAAAATAATTAACAATAATAATAAAATAATTAACAACAATAATAAAATAATTAACAATAATAATAAATTTCTAAGAGCATCTTTATGTAGTAATTAGATAAACCCTACTTGTTCCAAGCCGTCAAATAATTATTTTTATGATTAGTTTCTTCTAACTTGTCAAAATTCAGACATTTTGTTAGCAATAACATGGAACTCTTCCAAACAGATATTTTCATATTATTTTGTTTGGCTTTCTGTTTTGCAAAAACTTTAATAATTAATTTTGGAATTGATTGAGGCTATATTATTATTGTTTACTTCCCTGAAGTTTTTTTGAGCTTGTTAACTGTTCTGTCATTTTCTCTATTCTGCAGCCAAAAGTAACTCATGATAGGAACCACCAGCTTGTAGAAGGTTCTTGATAACCATCTTTCTCATAAAGTCCTAGTATTTAAGAACAATATAGCCTTAACACAGATATTGAAGCAAAGTTTCCTTTTATAGCCTTTCCCACCTAATTTTTCTTAAACTGATTTAGAGTCAAGCCCATGGGAACATAGAGCAGGGGCAGCCGAGATGGTAAATGCAGGTAGGTTGTTTATGAGACCAATAAAAGAGAATATACGTATGTAGCTCAAAGAGTTGAACTATGGAGTCCTTGGTGCTATCTGTACTTGGTTGTTTGCTTGCAGACATTTTGTAACCAGACTAGGTAACATCTTCAGTGCTAGAAGGGAATAGGGTTTGCTCTTTTGTTTATATACAACAGCTTGCTCTGACTGAGTTTATGGGAGTTTTGTTTTTTCCTTGATAGTTCCTTAATCAGGCTGCTGTTTGATGTTTGATTGTCTGGTATTATTCTTGGTGTTAATCTTTATTTATCTGAGTGGTGATTGCTGGCAAGAAGGTGTTCTAGTCTTTTTGTTTTCTTATTAGCATTTTTGTTGTCCTTTTTAAATGGTGGGTAAATGTCATTGTTTATTTCTATGTGCCTGTTGTTTGCTGATTTGTCTTAACATCAAGGTTCCAAGGCTGTTGTAGTTCTGGTCAAAAGGGTCTTTGCACAAATTCATCTAGTGTGCCAATTACTACCAAACTATTTGTGAACTTCATTGGTTGCCAGTAGGCTTCCATGTACAACTCAAGTGTATTTTTATTTGAGGTGATTTCATTGTGTCTAGGACCATTACATTCAAGCTATCTTCAAGAGGTCAAGCTTTCCAAATCCAACTGTGTACTCTTTGGCCCAGTCAATAGTAAAATATAGAGAGGGGCAGGGTTTTTCCATCAAGTCAGTCTTGACTCCTGGACTCTGCAAGGCCCTGCAGTTTTCTTGGGAAGGCTTTTCCAAAGTGGTTTGTTCTTGCTTTCTTTTTAAAACTGAGAGGGACTGCCCAAAGTCATCCAGCTGGGTTCATGTTAAAATCAAGATCTTGAACTCACATCTTCCTGGCTTCTAGCCTGATGCTTTAATCACTACACCAAACTGGTTCTCAAGAGATTCCCAATTTAATATTCTATTTACAGTCTTTTTATTTGATGAATGTTATAATTATTACCCACAATAATAATAATAATAATAGTAAAGTTGGAAGGGACCTTGGAGGTCATCTAGTCCAACCCCCTGCTCGGGCAGGAAACCCTACACCATTTCGGACAAATGGCTGTCCAGTCTCTTCTTAAAAACTTCCAGTGTTGGAGCATTTACTGCTTCTGGAGGCAAGCTGTTCCACTGATTAATTGTTCTCACTGTCAGGAAGTTTCTCCTTAGTTCTAGGTTGCTTCTCTCCTTGATTAGTTTCCACCCGTTGCTTCTTGTCCTGCCTTCAGGTGCTTTGGAAAATAGCTTAATTCCCTCTTCTTTATGGCAGCCCCTGAGATATTGGAATACTGCTATCATGTCCCCCCTTGTCCTTCTCTTCGTTAAACTAGACATACCCAATTCTCGCAACCGTTCCTTATATGTTTTAGCCTCCAGTCCCCTAATCATCTTTGTTGCTCTTCTCTGTACTCTTTCTAGAGTCTCAACATCTTTTTTACATCGTGGTGACCAAAACTGGATGCAGTATTCCAAGTGTGGCCTTACCAAGGCATTGAAGAGTGGTATTAATCATCAAGTGGGGTCATGCCATCAGTTGAAATGGATATTTCTTCTTTCCTTTTGAAGTTTTTCCTCTATTTTATACCAAGATAGAGAACTTACTGTAATCTCAAAGTATTATAAAGATGCATTGGGAAAATTAAAGACAATTTCTAGCACCTCAGCGATCCTCTGTTTGTCTGCTGTGTCACCTTTTGCTTTATTATTAGGATAATTTTTATAGTTAAATGGTGAAAAGGAGAGAGGGTCTGGATTAGTTAAGTTAGCTAGCTAATCTTTTGACTGAGGCAATACAAGTCTAATACATTGTTCATAGGTACCTACATACTGTACATAAATTTATTCAAGTAAGCATATAAATAGGGAAGGCAAGGCAATCACTTAGTTCCATTAACAGAGCAGTTCTGTATGTCTGGAAAAGTATTGACAGATGCCCAAGTTAATTAAATTTAGATGCCCATTAATTTGTTAATTAAATTTAGAAATAAGCAGTGATGCTGATATTGGCTTTAACATAATTTGGAAAGGGAAATTAAGTATTAATGTTGATGTATTACATTGGACAAGATTAAAAATGAATGCACAAATACATACATACATTTTTAAAATATCTTCTTGCTTCAGTTTAAAATTATGGCACATCTTTATGAGATTGCATATGAAAATTTATAAAATACATGTTTCCTATGGCTTCTGTTCTAATTTTCATAACAAGATATCACTTTGTAATTTTCATTTTTTCCCCAATCTTCTCTAAGTACTGTATTTTCCGGCGTATAAGACAACTTTCTAAACCCTGAAAATCTTCTCAAAAGTCAGGGGTCTCTTATACGCCCAGTCGTCTTATACGCCGGAATATACGGGTAGCTGTTCTCTGAATTTAAAACCAGTCTGCCCCCCCAGTGGCCAGCCCCCCCCTTTTTTAGAGAACTAAGCACTAACAGGACAAAGCATACAAAAATCCCATTTTTCTACATCGCCCATCATTTTATTCTTTTTCAGGAAAAGCAATTAAATAGTAGAAAACAGAAAGCCATATAAATTAAAGACATTACATCTACAAAAAAAAAAAAAAGAAACATTCAGCAGTCATGAATATATGGAAAAACTTTTTGATTCAGCAAATGACATTGATTAAGAAAGATACTGGTCAAAGGAAAAAGATCAAAGTGAAAATTAAGAAAATAGATAATGGGATCTACCAGAGAGAATATTTTAAAAAGAAACATTTGTTTGAATATGGTTAAAGAAACAGAAAAGATTCTGAATACATATGTTATTCTAAGAGAGATGAATTCCTTAAATAATATTGTATGCTTCTCCCCTTTTATTTTATTTCTTGATATAAGTAATATAATACTGCTGAAATAGCCTAGATGAAGGGAATGTTTTAGATAATTAAATGTGTCTGAATTTAGAGAAATTATAATGTATAAAAAAGAAAAAAAATGTTTTGAATAAGACCTAAAGGATTAGATGACTAGGCACATTAAATGGAATATTTAAAGATTAAATATATTTTATCAAAATAATAAGAACTATATTATTTCAAGGTTTGCAAAGAAGACATTTTGGGGAAAAGGGGAAATCAACTAAATGCACTATGTGGATTATAGATTATAGAAACCAATTGTTAATGATTTTTCTTTACAAATGTAAACCCAGCAAACACACTGTTTACCAACTATTAAGTGATTTATGTTTTAAAAAATCAATAAAATATATCGGGAAAAAATACCAGCTGAGTTCAGGAAGCATTAGGGAAGCAGTGGTGGGCAACACTCGCTTTCTAGCAGCAAAGGAATGGAGCTCCTATTGTGCTCATCTATAAACAGAAATTCAATATTGTACCGTATTTTCTGGCGTATAAGATGACTTTCTAAACCCTGAAAATCTTCTCAAAAGTTGGGGGTCGTCTTATATGCCCAGTCATCTTATACGCCGGAATATACGGTAATAAGAAAGGACTCCAAAAGTAAAGTGAAGATCTCTGTCGGAAAATGTGTGTGTATTTTTCAGTTTAGTTTACTCCCTGAACATTGATATAGTCAATCCCTGAATCCAGATCATGACAAGTACACATGTCAATTAGCAAAAGATATAGCTTAATATTTATATAAAGTTAACTAGCAAAAGGGAACAAAAGGAGAAGGGAGGGAGAGAGGGAGGGGGAGGGAGAGAGAGAGAGAGAGATAGAAGAAGAAGAAGAAGAAGAAGAAGAAGAAGAAGAAGAAGAAGAAGAAGAAGAAGAAGAAGAAGAAGAAGAAGAAGAAGAAGAAGAAGAAGAAGAAGAAGAAGAAGAAGAAATAAAAATTAAAGAAGAAGACTTCTTATCTTCATATTATATGCATCTATATATTGAAAGGGCAGAACCATCCAGAAACTCTGGAAATAGTACTGAGGATATTTGGCGTGGACAGTCTTAAAAGGAGTGGCCTTTGGTTATTCCAACTTTAATCTTTCTCTGGACTGCAGTAGAAAGGAAGCAAG